GCCGGAGCGGCAAGGCCTCGGTCCTGGGTGCTGTCTCTGGGCCTTCGAAGGGGGGTGAGGTACTGCAGGTGCCAGAGGGAGCTGCCGTGGGCGCTCTCGCTTTGCTACAGAGTGGTGGAAGCCGCCTGCCGTGTGCCTCTCGGTACTGCTTGCAAGGGTCAGCTTGCTAAGAAATGTCATCTGAGGAAACCAGACATGCTCAGCTTCTGATGTTTTCCAAAAAAAGCTACACTTTGTAGCGATGCAAATACGAACCGTTATTTTACTCCGATACGCTTTTGCCTTCCTGTGGTTTGCATTGCTGTAGCCTTATCCTAAGAGTCGCTTTTAAAGAAGTTTTTGAGGCAGCTTAGTAAGGCCAGAAGAAGAGATCTTGGGCCTCTACAGCACTGTTGCACATTTCTCTGTATTTCTGTTACTTATACATCTCAACATTTATAAACAAAACTGTGGGCGCAAGTACAGATACTCTGTTGTGACTGAGCTTTAATTTTGCCCTTCAACAAACTCCAAACCCGAGGCATAGGGAAAATAAGATTAATTGTTTCCTGGTGTTTTAAACATTATGGGACGGAAGTTAGTTAAAATTTTTGCTAGTGGATGCTCTTTTTTTTTTTTTTCCCCAAAAAAAGTGAATTTATGCTGAAATGTAAATCTTTAAGTATCCAATTTCTCTGAGCTAAAACACATTCCACAAATATGGGAAAGTTTTAGACAGGTTCCTAGTGTGGTTATCTAGGTGGGTCTGGAAGCTAACTATGGTTACATCTGTTCAAAATCTCAGTGAAGCTTTGTTTACTCAATAAACCAAATATTAAGAGTCTCCCACGTGAAGAGTGGCAAAGTGAGCAATTAATCATTTGCTTAACCTCTAGAAATTTCCTACTTAGCTACTGAAGCGAGAACTAAAGTACGAAGAAAGATACTCTGCGTGACTGTTCCTGACCCAATCTCATCTTCACTTGAATCAGTTCTTCCTGTTTCCCTGACCTGTGTTGCCTGCAGCTTTTTCTTTGTCCTATAGTGATCTTTGACTGTATGACAGGGGAGTTTTCCAGAGAAGAGAGGTGCTTTGAAACTGGGGTGCTTTTCTTTATGAGGTCAGAGCTTTTTCCTTTAAAAAAAAGGAGACCATTCTACCTGATCAGGATGTGTTTTCCCACCGTCCAAGGTGCTAAGAGATTCATGGAAGGAAGTTCAAGGGGTATGCACAAAACTTGATTTTATGTCCTCCACTTGTATACTTCAAGAGCCTGCAAATATAAATCCTGCTTAGCTGCAGTAGAGGCAGTGTTGACAACACTTGCAGCTGCTGCTTGGCTAGGAACCAAACTGCAAAGAAATGATCAGGAAAGATGTTATCTTTATCGTGTTTTATAGCCATTTCCTAGGCTAGGTGTGATTTCAGGGATAAAAGCAAACTATTCCCATATTTGGTGCTATTGGGATTATCCAGTCCTTTAGTTTGTTCGTGGCATTTTAGGATGTCCAGTGCTCATCAGGTGACGGGCACAACAAAAAGATAGGCTCACAAAGCATGTAGCAAACTGGGAAGGAAGAAGCAGGTCTAGGTGACTAGCAGTCTCCCTTTCTGTCAGACGGTATCTTGCATTAGAAGTTGGGCTGGGTACTGCCTAGGCTAAGCGTTACTAGCTTGTGAACTCGTGCGATCTTCGACCTGAGCAGAGTGATGGCGATGTATGGTTCCCATTAGCAAGCCTAGGTCTGAATGTTCTCCCTGTGCTAAGAGACTGTTTCCAGAGTCATAGACAGACTGCAAAATTAGTTGGAAGCTGTTTGTGTATATGTTAATATATAAGCAAATTTATTTTGTTAAATGCTCATTAGTGAAGTGAGATTTTTGAAGAGTTTTTCCTGGGGGAATTCCGCTGACTAATTTTTCTTTTCTGCCATTAGACTTTCGCCTGGCTCTTATTCAGCTTCATGTATCTGCTGCTAAATCAGATAACCTTCAGCGGGCCTGTGGACTGGTGAGAGAAGCATCAGCTAAAGGAGCAAAAGTTGTGGCTCTACCTGTGAGTAAAGATAGTGGTCTACTTAGCACCTATACCTCAAGCCCTTAGAAACCTCTTTCTAGTGTTACGAATGCTACTAATGTTACTAATTCCTGTTTCTCTCTGGATAGCTTAGATGCTGTATGAGGCTCCAAAATAGGAAAAAAAACAGGGGTTCTGTCTAGCAGCACACTTAAGAGGGGGGAAAATAATAATAAAAAGCAGATTCTTTTTTGTGGTATAAGATTCTGGTTAAGTTTTTGCTGGTTTAAATCCCAGGCAGTTTCATCACTGGTATGTTCTGAATTCACGAAAGTGACACTGTGGTTTGAATCTTTGCAGAAGCCTTCCGTGCTATAAATGTAGGACAAGGTGATTTTCAGCTAAAGAATGTTGATATGAAGATGAAAGAAAACAGGTATACGGTGACTCTCTTTGCCATAATCATTCCAGATTAGATGGTACATGAGAAACCAAATAGACTTAACACATTTCCAGCAGGTCATTTGTTGTTGAATTATGATTAAAACACATTTCTCTTGTGACTTCCTTGTATGGGAACATAAATAGCCACTCAAAATTACTGATAATTTCTGATCTACTTCTTGGATTTCAGCCACGATTACCGTGCTGAGTTTTCACATGGATGAGCAGGCTGGCAACGATGTGATGTTCCCAGTGCAGCTTTGAGCTTTTTTTCCTCTCTTCCTAGGGGTACGTGTGTTACCTCTGTGCCCTGCAGTATCTGACTCAGGAGAGCAGAGTTCATCTCTGAGTGAACTTTTGGTCTTAATATTTTACCCACAGAATGTTTTTCCTCCTGCTGTCACAGGCGAAGTATTAAGCAACCTTCCCAGCTCATCTGTGCTAACACAGCTCTTGTGTTGCAGATGTGACCTTTGATTATTCTGGCTGGGCCTTCTACATTGACATTATCTATTGTTTGCTAGTTTCATCATATGTACAAACACTGAGTTTTCCAGACCTATTTAGTTGAGATACTCACTTTGCCGATACGCAAATAAATATGCTTTTAGAGTAAAACTTGTCAAACAAGGGCAAGGTTTTTCACAGACTTCTGGGAGGTAAATTTGGTACTGGCATTAGGACATGGGCATGAAATATGCTCTTACCTCCACTTTTTTTTTTTTTTAAAGTCATACTACATAAAGAACAGAAGTAACTTGCACTGACTATATAATCTACACCTCTGCAGAGGCATATGGCAGTTTTCCTGTGACGTGTTAGCCTTGATGTGTTAAACTTTTTTCACTTCCGAACGAAGCAAAATTTGTGAGAGGAAAACAGTGTGTAATGTTTATGGATAAAGAAATAAAACCAGAATCCATTTGAATCTAGATAGAAAGCAATTCAAAGATCTGTCCCTGTATTCTTACCACTTTGGAGAGCACGGGACTAGGTGATCTGTGCCAACAGTCTGCAGTTTTGTTCCAGTGTCAGCTTATGAATGGCCCCGTGCACTGCTACCGCAAGCTTGCAGAGAGCTCTTGCCTGTTCTCCCGAGCACATCATTTCAGTACCACTCACGCTGACACTCCGAGTGGCAAGATGAAGGTGGAAGCAACTGACATTGCTTTCATTTCCTTGAAGTTCAGTCCACCTTTCAAAAGCCTGGAAAGCTCATTTGACAGCGTGCGGAAACTTCCCTTCCTGCCTCTTCTATCTACAAATTCTGCTGTGGGTTAACTGGCACCTGCTGGCCCAGTGTCTGTATATGGGGCAAAAACATCCATCCAGTTTTGGTTCGGTTATTCCAGTTCAGTAGAATCTACTACAGTTGTTAAGAAATTTGCTTGAGCGGTTAAGGCATAAATGTTATTGTGCTATTCACAGCTTGATTTTTTTTTTTTTTTTTGGGGGGTGGGGCAGATCTTGTTACAATGTCCAGCAAGCAAAGGTAATAATTGAGGCAGATGCTTGGGCTGGGAATCGCTGGCTGAAGAGTAGGTGCTGGTATTGTCTGATAGCCTATCTGCAGCCTTCAGCTGTACCCCTTTACGGGACAAAAAAGTGGTGGGGCCGGGTGTCTTGCATCCTCACAGAGCTGGCAAATATAACACAGAGTAAAAGTTCTGGCTATCTTGGGCATCTCAAACACCACTAGCCACATAGTTTAGGCATCTAAACTGCTCTGTTAATCTTACTGTCTAAAGATTACATGCCTGGTTCTGAGGGCTAGCAAATCTTTAACTAGAGCCTAGGACAGAAGACACTGTTCAGTTGTGGTGAAGTGGTGTTTAAAGGATTGTTGCAGCAAAAGAATAAGTAATTTTAAGATATACATGCTTTTGCAGACGTCCTTTTAAAAATGAAGAAATCATGGGCTGTGGATGAGCACAAGCATTTCACAGCTTTGGGAGGATCTATTTAGCTTATAACTTGTCAAATGAGCTAGGTGGAACTTGGTTCATTGTTCTGATGAAAACATCCCTTGCGATCTTGCTAAGTCTAGACCGATAAACGTGCTAGCCTTGTTACTTGCAGTTTGCATGATACTCCTAGCTCATGTTCTGTTTGGCACGTGTTCACACCAGCACACCCACTGCATTTTCTCTAATTGTTAAGGTCTCTCTGGCCTCCTGATATTTTCTAATTTGCTTATTGAGCTCCTGTAAACTAAACTCCTGTAACTAAAGATTGTATGGGAACATTGATAGAGAGGAGTTTGAAAGGTTAAGTACATCTCCGTGCAGTGGTGTTACTGGATTTTAACTTTCCTTTTCTCCCCGCCCCAATTCTAGGAATGTTTTAATTGTCCGTATGGAACCCAATACTTCAAGGAGTATGCAGAGAAGATCCCTGGGGAACTGACTCAAAAGCTCTCAGAAATTGCAAAGGAGTGCAGCATATATCTCATTGGAGGTAGTTTGCTTTTAGTGACCATCTCATTGAGGGGAAAAATGGGCAATGTCTATTAGTGCCGTTGGATCAAAATTCCGTATAATACAGTGGGGAAAATATTTGGTTTTGCCTTTACAAAGGATCTATTCCAGAAGAGGATGGTGGAAAGCTGTATAATACATGTACTGTCTTTGGACCTGATGGTGCTATGTTGGCAAAGCACAGGAAGGTAAGATGGCAGAATGTTGTTATTAAAGGTCTCTCAGCAGTGTTGCACAAATGATTTCATCTGTGCCTAAAGGTGATGTGAATTAGTAGAGTCTTGCATTGATAATAAGCTGTGTACTGTCAGTAAAATTGCATGGGACGTGTAAACACTCCTCCCAAAGGTGGTCATAAACTTGTTCTGGATAAGAATGACAAAATGCAGAAGGTATAATTGGCTTTTCCCAGATGCTGGGGAAACTGTGGTAAAGAGCAAATCCTGATCCATCTCATCTGTGTACCTTGGTCTAGGTCTAAAACACAGTACCACTTAAGTGGGATCAGGATTTTCCCTCGGGTTCCCAATGGATTCAGTCCTTCTGTTATCATAAATACTATTCTTTACATACTTTGTGTGCTATATGTATGATTAGTGCAGACAACCGAAGTCAGAGTTCCGTAGTTAAGCTGTGTCTGCTGTTTGTGGTAGATGCTTGCTTACTGTCATCTTCCACCTGGACATTGCTTTGTGCTTTCTGAGAAACTACCTCCTATGCGTAACTGTAGAGTGTAGTTTCTGTTAATCTGACTATGCATACAGGTATCATTCCTTAGGTGAACAACAGCTTATTTCTTTCAAGGAAAAACAAAAGAGAGAATGCAAGGTTCCTTGGAACAAATGAGGTGGTGCAAAATACCTCTGGGGTGCAGGTATTAATTTATTCTGTTAACTGATTCTATGCTTAGCTACACTATTAGATCACTTTCTGAAGTACTATGTTGCCTTCCATCTGTCATACCACACCAGTCTGCAAGCCTGGTAGTTGTTTGTAGAATGAGTGCAGGCTTGTACTGTGTAACTGTGAACGAATAATGATATAAAAAAAGCTGTATTATTAGGAAGCTCTGGTCAGGAACAGAGTCTTCTATTGCAAGGGGGGGATAAAGACTGTCTGCAAGGGCTAAGAGGCATCTGCATAGCTGAAGTCATGGGAACTTTATGACTTAGTGAAGGTGGTTTCTGGAGGACTTTTGCAGGAATGGGACTCAAATCTTAGAGAGGAAAATATCACCTGCTTTAACATACTTTAAAATCATCCTGACAAATTCAAGACATTTTATATGTATCTTTTCTTTTGCAAAATTACTCATTAGATCAAGATATCTAGCTATTTTGCAGGGATTCTTTCCATGAAGAAGATACAGAGCCATACTACAAATTAACTATTATATTTTTAGCTATTTTTAACTACTCTCTATTACTGCATGGGAGAAGGACAGGGCATTCTATTTGGTAAGTAAGATAAACGTTTGATACGTGCATCGCTTGGATCACAGGGATTATATGTGTTGTTTAAAATGGCCAGTCTTTGCCCCCCAGCCCCAAAAAAACCCCAAACTTCAGACATGTATATTTCTGTAAAGAAGAAAAGTGCTTTAAATCATCTTTAGGAGATCTCACAATCTTAAGCAATGTTTCATTGGGATCCTTACAAAAGAGCAGTCTAGATAACAGTAACTAGAATGGAAAGAGGCTCAAATACCAAGGGGAGAAATTGTTACTAATCATACTATAATTACAGGTTCATTTGTTTGACATTAATATTCCTGGGAAGATACAGTTCAGAGAATCTGAAACACTGAGTCCAGGGAATAGTTTCTCCATGTTTGATACTCGTGAGTATAAAACAAGCCCTCCCTTTAAGGAGCTCTACCACAATAACACTGCAGTCACTCTGGAGTTCTCTTCCCCCTCCTCCTCCCCAGCGATGGATTTTTAGACTATCAGATTTATGTTAGGCATTTGACAGCTATGGCAAATAGGGCTTAAGTTTGTTCCAAGTGCATGGGTCACTTCTGAAACTTTTAAAAAGGCAATGTGATTGCAAAAGGACAGAGGCGTAGAAAGGGTTGAAGCGTACATCATGACACTGCCCTTAATAAACAGTCGTCCTATCGAGTTGTTAAAGACAAGTTACTGTATTTTTTTATAGCAGTTACATCTTTAAAATGGTTCTTCTATAACATGGATTGGAAAAGAATATATGTAGCAAACAGCTACACTGGCACATTGTTTCATGTGAGGATGATACAATAATGGAGACAATTAACTGTAAATCCCATTCCAACATTCTTGAATCCATCACATCAGATAAAAAAGCAAGACACCTACTTCCCCCCCCTCAGTGTTCAGAAATTAACATGTCCTGTTTACTGAGTTTTCCCAAGAGTCTCATCTCCCATGGTTGCTTTTTCCTCCTTGCAATGTGCATGCTGTAAGGAAGTACGTGACTAGTTTCTCTAGTCCATGAAGAGCAGCGAGTGCTTTCTTTTCTTGAAAAGAAAATAATGGAAAAGCCTGCGGCTAAATCAGAGAGGAATGCATTGCATAAAGACCTGATATAACATGATTTTGTGGAAGTGGCAGATAAGACTGCTTCTCAGAGTCTTCCTCTCATCATGAAGCATGAGTTCTCCCCCACAAATAGCCCATGCTTGTTACAGGTAGGATACACATTTAAATATAGCTCCTCTTGTTACTGTGAGACATATAAAATAACAACTGGCAGGATGGCTACGGGGAGTCTTGTGATTGCTTTTGTGTACTTGTGATAGCGATATGACTGTTGTCTCTTGTGTTTTGAGAACAGCATACTGTAAAGTGGGCTTGGGCATCTGCTATGATATCAGATTTGCTGAGATGGCTCAAATCTACGGACAGAAAGGTGAGGCTGGGTCACCTAAAGGAGTCTGGTTAGCCCTATGGCCTGAACTATGCAGGGCTGTTTCAGGGTGGTACATACTGGGCAGTCTGTGTGATCAGGCACTCTTACGCTCGCCCAGTAACACAAAATACATCTCGTGGCCAAGACTTTGTTATTCAAATGAGCGCCTGTTCTCCTTGAGTAAAGTAAAAGTCGTTTCCTGATACACATTTGCTGACGGAGTGATGGAGATGGGTGTATCCCCACACTTGGTAGCATTTCACAGGGCTTTGCTGACGCAAGTCATCACCTGTGTTGTGCATGGACAGGCTCTGTTTGGTTCCATTTTGGGCAGAGGTCGGGAAGTATTGAAAGAAACCTCGCCTTGAGTCTCAACATGAAGGGCCACTCTAGGGAAGACCATCTTCCCCTTAATGACGGTTGGGTTCTAATTTTCTTTTAACAAAGGTTGCCAGCTGCTGATATATCCAGGGGCTTTTAACCTGACAACAGGACCAGCTCATTGGGAACTGCTACAAAGGGGACGGTAAGAACAAAGTAGTAGCTTATCCTCCTGTTCCAGCGGGGGTTTTAGCACGTGGAACTGAACCGTTGTGTTCCAAATGACACTGTGCATCGGAAGTGGTGCAGCAGGGCCGCTCTGCTCTTGGAGCTGCACCGTTCCTCAAGCCTTGCATGGGACACCAAAATGATTTTGCTGTTAAGGAGAAAAGCAGGAAATGCTTAGCCTTCACTCCTGCAGCCCATCTGCAGTTAAGCCCTTTCAAGGGCTTTTCCCCATGGCTCTGTTAAGCACCCTTTGCACACAAACTTCTAGACAGAAGAGCCAATAACCATTTGAGAACTGCTCTAATTACAGATAGAAATAGACCCTGAGATTCCGGAATGCAGTATTATTTATTCATTTGGTCAGCTTCAATCAACTCTGCTGCATGCTGAATGAACATGTAATTCATTCTACCCCCTAACTCTGGAGCAGGTGCTAGAGACTTCTCTTTCCAGGCTCTGCTTTCTCTGCCGTTCACGTAATTTACAATTTTGGCTAGTCCTTAGGAGAATATATAGCTTGCCTGTCGGAGTGAATTCTTTCTCTTCTGTTTAGTTAATTGGTGGTATAAAAAAAATTTCTCACTTTCCTCCCCCTCTTTCCTCATCTTTCTGTGTACACAGAGCTGTTGATAATCAAGTCTATGTAGCTACTGTATCTCCTGCTAGAGATGAAAAAGCATCCTATGTTGCCTGGGGACACAGCACAGTAGTAAATCCATGGTGAGTTCTGGGTGGGGGGGCAGGGAGGCACCTTTTCTTGGTTAAAAAATATGCTTTACTTGACAGTCACATTTCAGTCTACTCTTAAAAATGTTTTAAGTTCTTGGTAAAAAGCACCTGAGACTTAAGCCTACATTCTCAAAATCATCCTTTAAAACTGTCTGACTGAAAAACAAGAAAGAAACTAAAACTAGTTGAACAGTATGCATTCTTTTTGGTAGCAAAGCAGCTACTTAGTACTAGTATTTAGCATTAGTTAAGCTGCTGACCTTTTCAACTTGTCCCTGAAGTTCAGTCTGTTACATACTATGCATTATGGCAGTTCTCTGTGCGGAACTGAACCATCTAAAACAGCTTACACAAAACTATTTCATTTCCTCAAAGAACACTGCTTTGACGTAAGAAAGAAGAAAGTCTTCAGCTAGATAAGAGACATATTCTGACTTAAGCAGGAGCAATGCAGGTGCACAGGAGGTAAAAGTGACCACATCTTCAAGCAGTGACTTTTCTTTCAAATAAATCCACTGATAGTTCTCTTCCAGATGATTGCAAAGTAAGAAAAAAGCTTTATCTACGTCTTGAGCTTTTAACTGTACTTGGTGAAAGCTGTGACAGAACACCTAGTGGGAGACATGATAAATAATGTTTGGTAGCTCGTGCAGATAAAGGTATACTCCTATTAAAAGCCAATAGGATCTGAAAGGAGGAAGCGTTAGTCTGTGCCGTAGATGGCTGTCCCTGGTGAAGTTGTTTCTTTCCCCTGGAGGTATATTGCATGCTCATGTGCACAGGTTCTCATAGTTGCTCTTACCACGATTCTCGATCTTTGGAAACATACTTATGGCAAGTATGTATGTGTCACAAAGAAAGCCTGGAAGCCATTTCTGTCATGCCAGAATTATGAATTATGATGCTATTTTTAGGACAGCCCTGTCTTTACAGCTGTAGACATCAAGGGTAGGAACTCCCTTGTGTACAAACAGCAGCAACTGGACTGATGCCTCGAGACCTCTGTGTTAATGCTATGAACAAATGTGCTTAATTTTGCAGGGGTGAAGTCATAGCCAAAGCTGGGGCTGAGGAAACGGTTACATATGCAGATATAGGTAAGGGTAAAGTTGTTTCTTTTCCCTGCTTGCTTTCTTGAGTACAGGTCACAAGACTAAGAAGAGACAGTTTTTTTAAGTCTGTGGGCCTGCACGTGCAATTGCAGATGATGCAGCGTTCCCATCCCTTCTCCACCTTTGCTAGGCTAAAGCAAGAACAAGCAGCACTTGGCTACACTCTTCCAGTCTCCTTCCTTCCGAGGAAGCTGCCACCTTTGGAAAGGGCAAAGTTGAGGCTTCCTTCAGGCCTGGCTGCCCAGCTGCAGTGCCCTACAGCCCCAGTCTCCGTGAAAGCTGCCCTTTTCCCTGCCTGACCTCAGAGCAAGTCAGGAGCTCTCCTTTTTGACTGCTGTTCTAATAGCTCCTTCTTTCCCCCCACAGATCTGAAGAAACTCACAGAAATACGTCAACAAATTCCTATTTTAAGCCAGAAGCGTCGTGATCTCTACAGCATAGAGATGAAACAGTGAAGCTGGGTGAACAGGGACGGTTCAGCTGGCACAATGGCTGCTGCTTTTATCTTTGGAAGGATTCCCTTACTAGTTGCTCCACAATCTACTGCTAAATGTGCCAGTTAAAAAAAAAAAAAACCAAAAAAACCCCAAACCCAACAGAAAACCCTCAACTTGGTAGTGTAATTCTAAAATTGATTCGAATACAACTTTTGTATCTCCTCTCATACTTGAGTATTTTACAGCTAGGATAAAGATGGAGGTGACATCAGTTCAATACAGTAGTAAACATTGCTTTTTACATATCACAATGTTTTAGTTACCTTTTGGGGTTTTTTTTTTGCAGAACATAGAAATGGGAACCTTGTTCTCTCTGGAAATCCTCTGAAGTCAGCTTTGGTATTATGAATTATTAGATAATCTAGAAGCATGATTCTTCCACCTCTGTCCTTCTTAGTTTGTACACACCTTAACAAAGCTCCTTGAATGTCCAACTTCTAACTTGGAAAGCTTAAAATTTAACACACTAAGCAAAACAGGCAAAATTCTGCTCTGTACTACTTGGGGACAACACAAGAAGCTGCCGGAGAGAACTACTACTGTAGAAGAATCTGTAACAGGTTTTGGTTCACACATCTTGCCTGCAGTGTATGTCTTACTCTCTTATTGCAATGCCTGGTCATTGCTGAAGTGATGCAGGTTACTGTTTTGTTCAAGCAATTCACATGTCACCACACCTTTGCACTATATACTGCTGCTTGACTGTAACGTTTGAATGGGCTTTAATTCTGCTGCCTGGCAGTCTTTGCCTGAAAAGGCTGAGGGGAGTCAGTCAAAGGGTCAGAAAACTCATTGCACTGACGAAGGCTTTCTGCCCACAGTCTCAGAAGACAGGTACTAGAATCGCTGAATGTTTAAATGCATTATTGCTACCGAAGGCTGACTCCTATCAGCTGCATGGGAAACATCATTGCTTTCGCTGAAGTGACTAACAAACTGATTATTAAAGATGGCTTTGAAATGCTTAAAACCAGCCTAGTATTTTGTAGTTGTGGTGGATTTTTTCTTAGAAGACGCACGCCTTGGTACTTATAATGTAAAAAGATAGGATTCGCACCCCCCCCAAGGTTCTTTTGGCTTCTCTGGAGGGAGCTAGGTGTGTGTTTTATAGAGGAAAATTAATGGTTAAATTAAGCCAAACCCCGAGGCATCCTTCCCCCCAAAAGACAGGTCACACCATTCCACTCAGGGGCATTATGTATTCCAGCAGGCATTTTTTGGTCTGTGCTTTTCACTGCATTTTGGTGTCCATACTGTAACTGGAACTTTTAAGAAACAAGCCGCAGAGCATAAGGTGAAATGAAAATTTATTTGTTGAAAAATAAATATAAAAAAATTAACAATTTACCATCTGAGTCAAGTCTCCTGCATTAGATTAGTGTCTCCCACATACTCAACATCAGCATCCACAATGGCCGTCACTGGGCTCCAACGTCTAAGAGCAACTATTATACATCTGTTTTTCTACACTTTATCTGTCTTTTCCCTCCCCTCTCTATACTAGTTTAACATGCAGCAGAGCAGGAACTAATTACTACCTTTGGAGGATTGAAGCAGTGCAGGATTCTCACCAGCTGACCACTTAATTTTAAAAATGCAAAGTGCAGCCTGCAACAGGCAACTGAATCCGTGGCCTGGACCCTCCTCCCCTGGAATCCCAAATGGAGAGAACAGATGAAAAGCTGTAGCAAGCTACTTTGGTGAGCGCAGCTGAAGAGCTGACATGAGCTCAGTCCTCTTCAGGCTGTCAGGACAACTTCTAAGCACCTTGTTTTAGCAGGATGTTTTTAGGGGTCTCCAGTGTGATCCACTCGGAAGTGATACAAACGGGACTGTGAAGTTCTGGGGGTTTCAGTGAAAAAAAGTCCACAATCAGTTCCCAGCTAGATAATACTTAACGCAGTCACTCTCTGTGGTGGTAGAAAACAGGCACTTTAAGTATCCCTATTATACATATGCACCAGTGTAGAAAACCAGCCAGTAACAGCCCTGAAATAGCTCCAGAATTTCAGCCTGCAAGAATTTAAATTCTTTTTAAAGAAATGGCAGAAAACACAGTAATGCCTCTTGTATGGGGCAGCGTTAGTACCACTGCAGCTGGGAAGCTGGGTTTAAGCTGCTCTTCATAGCTCCAGAATAAGTTACAGTACAGCTCCTTAGTATCTCTTAGTTCCCTCTTCACTTCCAATCTGCAATCAGATCCTAGTAATTCAAGTCACAAATTCTAACCTCCATTTTGGCAAACTTGTCTCTAACATGAACAACAGGGATTTTTACATGATTGGAATTAAGATGCAAGACAACTGTGTTTAGTAGAAGCAACCTCCCAGAGTCTCTAGGATACACCAGGTTTATCCAAGGCTTCAGTACGAGCTTCCATTATTTCAACAGATTTTTTTCTTTTTTTTTTTACATAGCAGTAATACTTGTCTCACTTCAGCTCTTGATCCCTACTAAAGAAAGCTTTTCTCAAAGTTCACATGCACAGCTGGCTTTTAAAGCAAAACCTCAACTATATCAGCCATCTTTAAAAAAAAAAACACCAACCAAAAAACAAAAAAGAAATCCCTTTCACTGAAGGGATCCACCTGCATACACACATTAACAGGGTGTCAGCTACTCAGATTCCCAGCTTGCTTGGCTGGATTTCCTTTCCCCTGTAATCTTCAGCTCTCAAGATCATACCTCTGTGGGTGATGGAAGCAATCAGAGATAAGCCTTGTTAATTCCACATCTCCTTTTTTCTTAAAGGTTGAAGTGAGAGAAGGTGACAGGGAGTCAGTCATTATTAGTTCTTCCTAGATTCAGAGCGACCTCAAGTAAGCACAGAGCACACCACTGCAGAGAGCACTTTCATCAAAACCTGTTCTTATGCATGTCCGAGAAAGAGACTTGAAGGTAATATTTATTTTTTCAGTTTACAGGTGATACGTCATTTACAAAAAAATTGCAGACAATGCATCCTTTCAGTGCAGTTTCAAACTAGTTTGAGAACAGGCAAAAGTCTGTGATGATTTGGAATGCTAGTATTTGACAGCACATGCTTTTTTCCCTTAATTGATTGGGTGGGGTAAGGAATGGGGTACAGGAAGGGTGAAGAGGAGAAAATGCCAATGTAAATAAGGCCATGCGAATAAAAACTCCTCAGAACAGGACACATCAGTCAGCCTGGCTTATTTTTGTTCTCAGGTAATTGATGCAGTAGACATTTGACGCTTGTTATGTGCAGTGCCCTTAGAAGCTGCCAGTACCTTCCAATGCCTTCAATTCTACGCCAACACTATGATTTCAGATCACCTGCTGAGCTAGCTAAAACAGAATGATTAAATCTTTATGTCTACTCTCCAGCATTTGAATTCTCAGCTGCAGTTGCTGGGAAAAAGGAAGGTCAAGTTGAAAATACAAGCTGCTGCTGTATGGTGGCACAACTAGAGAACAAGACAGTTTGACCACAGCATGGTTCATTTCTTTAAAAGATGAAATACATTAGACAATTCAGCACAAGCAAATCCATGATTTCAGCATGGAAAGAAGCCCACTAATGTGTCTCGTAAATTAAGCTACATCAGTTAAGTATCTGCATGAGGTTTATCCAGCCACATCAATCCAGGGAGAGGCAAGATGGACTGACTGACTTCTATACCAGAAAGATCAACCCAAAGGAAGAGAGCCCTCTGTGAAGTTCCTAGCTAGAGGAAGACTGTTTATACTAGTATTTAATAATTTGCCACTCTACTATTTGCAGAACAGTTGCTTCCTTTCTACAGTATTTGGAATCTTGGACAAGACAGGGTCTAAAGAACAAGGAAACCAGTACAGATTCTAAATCCATTATTCAAAGTTTTAGCCTATGCTTCGTTCCTTGTCTCACCTAATCCTGCAAAGGGGCTATTACAAGGAGCAGATCAGAACACAGCAGTCTCTAGAGACTGAGAATTGAGATGGTCTGTTAGCTGTTACATTTAAGCAAGAGCGTCAGAGATTACAAAGATTATATGCAAGCATGACCTTACCTTGGCAGCTCTACTCCCAGCAGCGCTTTCTGTTCTTCAAAGTCCCTCTGAACCCTGCAGAACAATTTCCTGTGACATTCAAGTAAGGACTGCTGCACAAGAACATGGCCTTTCTTCCAGTAAAAGCTACCCTGAAGTGGTGTTACCCAACCTCTTTCCCCAGCCAACCTTTTTACTAGCTCTCCTATATGGTACGCTAGGGCTTTCTGGGGTGAGGATAAGGACTATCAAATTAATTCCCTAATAGCTGCCACAGGACTATTTCTAAGTAAGCTATGCAGAGGGTGGGAGGGGTTTAAGGGAAGATTGTGCATGCTTGCATATATTTACAGGGATTCTCTCGACATGTACTAACTTAAAAAAACCCCTCTATTATTAAACAGTTTGAAAATTAATTTTTTCCTTTTTGCAAAATTAAAAGCAACCCTCAAGGATTAATTGCATATAAAAAAGAAACCTATTTTACAGCACTGACTAGTATTACCTTTAAAATCAACAGGAAAAAACCCCACATGCTGTAACATTGTTTGATAAAGCAAAAATCGCCCACAACATAATCACCCAAAATGAACCGGTGTGAAGTTTTTATTTGCATGGCCAAAATATCTTCCTTTTGTTCCCCTGCAACTTTATTTCCCTTAACACACTTTAAGGTTTTTGCTGCAGAAGGAACAAGATGCAACACTGCATACTTCCTTGAACAACCACTCCCACAACACCTAAACATTTAACAGATGTAGCAAATGACAACACCACGAACGGGAAAAAACTAAGTTCCACCATTCAACATGGTCTGCAACAGCATCTTTAGGGCTGGCTGAAGTGGGCACCTTCACTTTAGAAGGTCCTTTCCTCCTCATTTCTTTACAGTGTTGGTGGTTTCAATCCATACTTCTTTGCAACTTCTGTCTGGGCATAGGCAGCATCACAGAGTGAGTAGAGGTGGGCCATCTCCATTTCAGATTTGGCCAGGTTGATAGCTTTGTTGAACATTTCAATGGCTTTATCCAGATTACCTCTGAAATAATCCAAAATGTAGG